CCCCATTGTCCCCAAAGTCCCCTGTGGCACCCATCCCCAATGTCATGTCCCAAAGGACATCTGTCCCCAGTGCCACCCATCCCCAATGCCACCTGTCCCCAGTGCCACCCGTCCCCAGTGCCACCCGTCCCCAGTGCCACCCGTCCCCAGTGCCACCCGTCCCCAGTGCCACCTGTCCCCAGTGCCACCCATCCTCAATGCCACCCGTCCCCAGTGTCACCAGGCCCAGCCACTGTCCCTGTACAGCTTTGGGTTTATTTGAGCCGTTTGTGACACGGAGCAGCAAGGCTGGAGCCCCGTGGGGACATCGGGGACCTCGCTGCGGTGACAGGGCCACCCGGGCACGGTGACCCCGTGATGTGACCACCTCACCATGGTGGCATGGCCACCAGAACACGGTGACGTGGCCACCCGGGCACGGTGACCCGGTCACATTGGCACAGGGAGGTGGCAGCTGCCCGGGGCGAGGCCACGCGGGTGGCTCAGGTGGCCGTGTCGGTGGCCGTGTCACCTGCGGTGTCACCTGCGGTGTCACTGGCCAGGGCCTTGGCCACCTTGTCCTTCAGGTAGGCCACGCGCTGCCGCTCCAGCTTCAGCTCCAGGAACTCGTAGTGGGGCACCTGCAGGGACACGGGGAGGTGGCAGCGCCCCGGGGTCCCCGCTGTGTCCCCTCTGTGTCCCCTGTGTGTCCCTGCTGTGTCCCCGCTGTCCCCTCTGTATCCCTGCTGTGTCCCCTCTGTGTCCCCTCTGTGTCCCCTCTGTGTCCCCACTGTGTCCCCTCTGTGTCCCCTCCTGTCCTCACGGCACCAATCCGGGGTCCCAGCGCCCGCCCGGCGTGCCGGTGACACCGGGGGGTGACAGTGACACTGGGGAGTGGCAGTGACACCGGGGGGTGACAGTGACACCAGAGCCTGGCAGTGACAGTGGGAGGTGACAGTGACACTGGGGGGTGACAGTGACAGCGGGGGGTGACAGCGACACCAGGGGGTGACAGTGACAGCGGGGCCTGGCAGTAACACCGGGAGGTGACAGTGACACCGGGGGCTGGCAGTGACACCACCAGGGGGGTGGCAGTGACACTGGGAGGTGACAGTGACACCGGGGGGTGACACGTGGCTGTCACTCCCCCCGGGCTATAATTACCCGCAGGGGTTAATCCTGGCTGACCCCACGGATCAGCTCGTCCGTGTCACCTCCCTGTCACCTCCCTGTCACCTCCCTGTCATCCCCGCAGCTGGCAGGTGGCCCCGGGGGGATCACGGTGACAAATCCCTGCTGAGACCGGGCTGGG